CCAACAACCCCGCCACCGCCGCCTCCACCTTCTCCCTGTTCGCAAAGTACAGCGTCCGCAACAACAGCACATTCCCCTTGGGGCCCCACCACCGCCGCTGCACTCCGCCTCTCAAAGCTCCGCTCCCCCCTGCGCGTAGTTGTAGCTGTTCCCCTTAAGCTGATGGTGAACATCATGGACGACGACATTGTTGTTGAACAAGAACTGAAGGGGATTCCATGGCGTCCACAGAGCACAGTGGACGTCGACGGTCTTGGTTGTGTCGTCGCCGATCAACTTCAGAATGGAGAAGACGACCACCACCCGAAAAGTCCGTATATGCCCATTAGTTGGATACAGTCGAGAAAGACGCAGCCACCAGCTGTTTGCTGAAATGCCCATTAGAGAATGAGCAGCCTTTGACTTTGGCAACTGAAGCCAGAGAGTGTAAGGACAAAGAGGTGGAGATGAGAGAGATAGTTAAGGAGCTTAGAATTGTTAAGAGGCAGAATGTCATTACACATTGCCTTCTCTTAGTCATGATCTTTGTTACCGCGGTCTGGCAGTTCTCAGAGGTCTCACTCTTGCTTAATATGAAAGAGAAAGTAACTCATCCTATGAGAGCCTATGTATAGATACGGTAACATGATCTATTAAGTGGAAAGGGAGGACGCCAAAGATTGAAGCACCTCCGCTTCCTCCGATAAGTGTTCCAGAGCTCCCACACATGGATCTACCACAGTTGAATTTGAATGGGGGTGATGAATGAACTCACTCTAAATGATCTCTGTAAGTTTGTATGAATACAAATTTGAATGGAGAGTGCATCAACCACAATTACAAAGCCAGAGGAAGAAACTACTTTGTATAAATTATATAGTTAACATCTATGGGGTGTAACGTGATACAATTACAGAACTACTTTGTAGATTGACATTAACTTTATGGTTAACATGTTAGCTTATGGATTAAGGGTGACATGATAATCGTACTTTAGATAACAACCTACATATATAAGTTAACAGCTAACGACTTAACATGTTACAAATAAGAGTTAAACAGGTTATCAACTAAAGTTAACAAATTACAAATAAGAGTTAACGTTTAATCAACTAAAGTTAACAAATTACAAATAAGAGTTATCAGTTTATCATTCAAAGTTTACATGTTACAAATAATAGTTAACACTTAATGCGACAACAAATTTATACAACATTTATATATATCACACCCTGAGTTTATTATTTCTTTCTCGATTTTGATATACATCCAAGGTTCTAAAGCTCTAAATAGAATCAATAGCTCTAACATCAGAAACAAAGATTGGATCTTTAGCTCTATTAGAAACAAAGATTGAAATACTTATTTATGTCATTAGCTATGTATATTAACGTTGAGGATTTACCTGTTAACTATAATATATAGCAAGTTAACTTGATCTGGTATGTACTATGCACAGCAGAATGAGGTTAACTATAATCCTTTACATGTTAACTATAGTTGATTAGCTGTTAACTCTTACATGTAATTTGTTAAGTATAATAAATATCTTGTTAACTCTTAATCCATAAGTTAACATGTTAACTATAATTTATGTATAGATTATAGTTTGTATAGATTATAGTTAACAGGTAAATCCTCAACGTTCATATACACATCTAATGACATAAATAAGTATTTCAATAGTTAATAGGACAAATATACACAGCTATTGACATATATAAATCCTCAACGTTCATATTTTTTGTAGGTGGGCGTATACTTATATTATCTGAGTAGCTTAACAAGCGAACAAATAAAGTTAACATGTTATCTGTATAACTTAATAAGTTAACAAAGAAATGTAATATGTTATCTGTGTAACTTAACAAGCTAACAGCGAAAGTTAACATATTATCTGTGTAGCTTAACAATCTACCTGTGAAAGTTAACATGTTATATGTGTAACTTAACAAGCTACCAAGAAAAGTTAACATGTTACATGTGTAACTTAACAATCTACCTGCGAAAGTTAACATATTACCTGTGTAACCTAACAACCTACCTGTAAAAGTTAATATGTTATTTGTGTAACTTAACAAACTACCAAGAAAAGTTAACATGTTACCGTGTAACTTAACAATCTACCTGCGAAAGTTAACATGTTACTTGTGTAACTTAACAATCTCCCTGCGAAAGTTAACATGTTATTTGTGTAACTTAACAAGTTATCAAGAAAAGTTAATATGTTACTTGTGTAACTTAACAATCTACTTGCGAAAGTTAACATGTTATCTGTGTAACTTAACAAGCTACCAAGAAAAGTTAACACGTTACATGTGTAACTTAACAATCTAACAGAGTAACTTAACAAGCTAACAAAAGTATTTCAATAGTTAATGACTTATATAAGTATTTCAATAGTTAATAGGATAAATTTGTGCATCAATTTTATATCACATTTTCATTATAGTACACATCCCTACAAAAGTATTTCAGTTCATATACACAGCTACTACATACATACAAAAGTATTTAGCTATTACATACACCCAAAAGTATTTCAGTTCATACATACAAAAGTGTTTCACATCCGCAACTCATATTAATCGGCGATCGGTTCGTTGCAAGTTGCTCGGTTGTGGCGATCAGTTCGTTACAAAAGTGTTTCACATCCGCCTCCGCCGCCGCCGCCGCTTCCTTTGCCCCTCCTCATCC